CAAGATGTGACTATAAAATAGTGAGGCGTAAAACATTTCACTTTGTGAAGTATCATTGTTTCTGGAGAGTGGAGACATTATTTCTTTGTGCAAAATAGAAAAAAACTGTAGGAAATGTCAAAATTTAATGTTGAACTAGATTTTAAAGGTAAATGTACATTTATTTAGCTAAGTGTTATAGTAAAAATTATTTGTCATGAAGTACCTCAAATATTTATTTATAGTTCATATTTAAAATGGAACCAATCCAAGTTAGGGGTTAACATCGAGATTTGGTCCAGTTTCCGAAAGGAAACATTTTGAGGAAAGCTAGATCTGAGTCCTTGACTCTAAGCTTCAGGCATTTCAGATGTATGGATTTCTCTTTCCTTCAGGATGTTAACATTTCCATTAGTCTTTTGGTGACCACCATTTTTAATTTTCTTAATAATGATTTTAAATGAACATATACCAAGTACAAACCAAACCACTGACCCCAATAGTTTACCCTCAATAGTCCTGGTTATAGCCGATAGCATGCACTTGGAAAAGTCAGCCAGCCGAGATGAGGTCACCTGGATTCCAGCCCAGTGGAGGTAATGGGGGTGTTACATTTTCCCCAACCACCATGAAAATTCTTCTCAGGTCTGCAGTCCCAGCTTGGAATTAGAGCCAGGAAGTTTCTTTTTGGAGCCTGTCTTGTAGCAACCATACATGTGCCAAAGAGAAGCTTCCTAGTTTGGGTGGACCCAAATATGAATATTTTGAGAATTCGCTAGTGTCTCCAGAAATAGTAGGTGAGCCCATGTGTGGGGTGGTGGCAGATTATATTTTGTGATTTTTGAGTGTACTGAAAATGGCACAGAAACATGAGTATAACCATTGATATACAGGTGCATACTAAGCATTCTAAGTAGCAGATAGATATCAAAATACTGTATAATCCCAGGATTGCCTAGACTGCAGGTTTGCTAATTCTGTTACACAGACCAGTAGGTAGCCTTTACGTGTATTTCTTGTTTCATCCTGTCGCCGAAAGTGTGCCAGCTGGCAGGCGAAGTTGGTAGCCCTCCGCACTTTATCTTTTCTACCTTCTATCTCTTCATCTTCTCTCAGGATGCTGCGGGCTGTATCTGTCCCAGACTTGTTGCTACACTGGAATCAGATCTGTGTATGTTTGAAGAAGTTTGAAGCACTTCATTTTTTCTCAGCCCTAGGAAGGGTCAAATATGAGAAAAACCCTGCCTAGCTGTTTGCTTTTGCAACATTAAAAAAAAAAAAAAATGCCTTGGTGCTAAAAGTATTTGATGATGCATGTTCTCCACTAAAAATCGCCACTGAATTCACAGTATTTCACTGATAAAGGACTGCATGTGCTTTGCTTTTGGAAACCTGGAGAATTTCCCAGAAAATAAGCACTCATTACTCTCATTACGACTGTTAATCTGTGGACGCTAAGCTGCAAAAATGAAGAGTGCAAGGGGGAATACTTTTTCTATGGAAAACTCAGCACTTTTGATACTTATTTTAGCAAGACTAATCAGTGCTAAAAATAACTTCAGAGAGAGGTACACAAAATATGTCAGATAATCTTTTCTTATTTCTTCTCCAAAAAGCTTACACCCATGTAAGGTGTTTTTAACATTGGGGTTTTGAAGGCGTTGCCTTTTCTGATATTTTACTGTTAAAACGTTAAAATCGAAAGAGAAAGTATTATTACTGAAAGCTGAAGGAATCGCAGGGACGTATGAAACCAAAAAAGGTGAACAAAAGAAGTGTGAGTTCCAGTTTATATCTAGAAATGAAAAAGAAAAGTAATTGATAGAATCTG